TTCTCTGTGGAAGCCTTGTCCGAACTATGCTCGCTTCTTTCTTCTAATGTTAGTCGAAGAGCCATTAACGAATGACTTTTGTCAAGCCGTTTCACCCAAGATATCTATGGCTGCAGAATGGTCCCATCCAATCGTTCTGCCGTTTCTAATAGAAGAACACATTTTTGCAGCGTTTCTTTCAAGAATGAATAGGATCACCGTTGTGCTCGCTATTGTCGGAGCTGTGCACACGTTTCCTGGATGGAATCCTGCTGATGGAGTTGGACCTGTAATTCCACAACAGCTCGGAGCAACAGGTATGGGATTTCGACAAGGACAAGGAGATTGAAATTTGAAGCAGCGCGCCTATTAGAAGCGAAAAGTGAAGTGCCCATGGGTGGTCCATTATTACGAAATAGTGCTAGCAGAGGTGCATCCCTATAGAAATATAACGTGGTTTCTTATATAGTATCTTTCTGTCTTCAGGAAAAACAAAATGTAAATCGCGAATGGGTGGGACAGTTCCAGCTGTAGTTCCAGAAGGTAAGCATGTCACGAGATTCATCGATACGATGTTTGTCGGTACGGCTCAACTGGAAAGACACTAGATTGCCACTTCCATTCGAGAGTAGATGTCACCAGATATCTTTGAACGCTAATCTCAACCTACCCTACAAAACTGCTAAACGAGTATTCGAAAGGGATATCGGGAGTTTTTATCATGAGGCCAAATAGACAAGTAGTAGCGACCTGGGATCGCGAGAGCTGTCGGGATCGCTCCCCTTGCATCGTTCCTCTGCTTTTGTCTGTATGTCTTTTGAGAGACTGCTATCCACGTTATTCCACGAATGCTTGTCATAAATTCTCCGCAAAAGTTTGCAAGCAGTAGCTGACAAGTTCAATCACTGTTCCCGCACGACTGCTCATGGCACCAGCAGGGTGCATGCCCCACGTCTCAGCGCACGAGGTGATTTTGGTCAGTAGAGCTTCAAAATCCATGGAGCAAGTTTCCAGCGGAATCAGAAATTTCGGATTGTCTTCAAATACATCGACTGTGAACAGACAACAACAGCTAAAATCCACAGCAAATACTCCCGGACCTGTCGCCCAGGCAATTTCAGACAAGCTTTGGTGAAATAACATGTAGAGGTCTTCTCGGAAATGTTACAGGCAAAGATAAAAGAACAAATACACAAAGGAGCGATCGCACGAGCTCTGCTCCAGTTCGGACCAGTTCGGAGATAATATACTCCGCAAGTCACTCCGTCTACAGAACCTTGAAGACCAGCGTTTCAAGACGCATCTAGCGCTCGAATGGCCTAGTATCTTTTCCTTGTTAACAAATTTATGTGATTTACTTTCCTTAAAGTCGTCAAGTGATATTTTCCAGGAGTGAACAATGGCAATCCAGCTCCCAGGCCTATCGGAATACTACTTCCCCCGAATAGACCTCTATTTCCACCAATGGGACCTCCACCTCCACCAATGGGACCACCACCTCCACCAATGGGACCACTACCTCCACCAACGATGGTGGTTCCCATTGGTGGAGTGTGCGGGTCAGCCCATGGTTGGTGGAAATAGAGGTCTATTCGGGGGAAGTAGTATTCCGATAGGCCTGGGAGCTGGATTGCCATTGTTCACTCCTGGAAAATATCACTTGACGACTTTAAGGAAAGTAAATCACATAAATTTGTTAACAAGGAAAAGATACTAGGCCATTCGAGCGCTAGATGCGTCTTGAAACGCTGGTCTTCAAGGTTCTGTAGACGGAGTGACTTGCGGAGTATATTATCTCCGAACTGGTCCGAACTGGAGCAGAGCTCGTGCGATCGCTCCTTTGTGTATTTGTTCTTTTATCTTTGCCTGTAACATTTCCGAGAAGACCTCTACATGTTATTTCACCAAAGCTTGTCTGAAATTGCCTGGGCGACAGGTCCGGGAGTATTTGCTGTGGATTTTAGCTGTTGTTGTCTGTTCACAGTCGATGTATTTGAAGACAATCCGAAATTTCTGATTCCGCTGGAAACTTGCTCCATGGATTTTGAAGCTCTACTGACCAAAATCACCTCGTGCGCTGAGACGTGGGGCATGCACCCTGCTGGTGCCATGAGCAGTCGTGCGGGAACAGTGATTGAACTTGTCAGCTACTGCTTGCAAACTTTTGCGGAGAACTTTATGACAAGCATTCGTGGAATGACG